TCTCTCTCTCTCTCTCTCTCTCTCTCTCTCTCTCCTTATATTTGTAGTACAATGGCCACACCACTGAGAAAGAAGTGAACTGGACATATGCATGACCTAGCCACCTCAACATACATCCATGCTACCACCGCAAAGCATGGCTCATCACATATCACATGATGAGGGGGCACATGCCAGGTCATAGCACAGCACTACTTTGGACATCAGTGCGTGGGTATGAACTCACCAGTTGGACAGTAGTCAAGCCCTAAGTGGCTGTCTCAACTCCACAGTACTGGAAGGTAGAGACCATCTCAAAACCTTTCCAAGGCCAGTAGGTGGGCATTACGTTCTTTATTTTTCTTTCAAAGTGGGCATGGTTCCAGCTTAGAAATTCAACCAACTGCGATTTGAAGCAGCAGTGGAGGATGACACATTTTGAAAAGTGGGCATGGGTTCCATTTTGGAATGTTTGGGTTCTATTTTGGCATGTTTTTGTTGGGGTTATGTGGCCATTTAAAAACTTTACGAGAGCACGTAAAACTATGACTACAGTGATATGATAACTCCAATGGGAGTCGGTCTAGAGGGACCAAAGGATTATGGTCCAAAGGGGCCCAAGTTGGCAATACTGATGCCATGACTCAAACGAAGCTTGACGAGCTAGGCCGAGTTGCATTCTAAAACCCTATGATACCTGGGCATACAACACAACCAAGAAGGGTTTGCAGGATTACCCCTTGATGAAGTCGGAGAGATGCCCAAAGGACTTAGACCCTTGTGTGTGATTGGTAGGCTTGAATGGACCAAGGCCGCAATCCTCATTGTGACCATCACACGGTATGTATATATAATAGCCATATTGGGAAGTAGACACTATTGAGGGTGTTGCAATGCATATGTGTGAAAGATACACCCCATGCACCTATTGCGATGACTGTGCACAAGTCAGCGTGACCTAGGCTTGTCCCTACGGGGAACCTGTAGTCCATAGACTAGGATTGTGTTTCCACCACCTATTGACTAGCTTTGGTAGTCCAGTCATGAACCCTTGTAATGGACTGTGGGTCATCGAAACCATTGGGTGAGTTTCAGAAAGTGAGTGTGGCACATAGTCACTACTAGACATTGGGTGCCTTAGTATATTTGCATTTTTCTTAACGAAATTGGAACTGATTCCCATCAAATGTTGTGGTAAATGATTTTTAAAATATTAATAAGAATTTGTAGAGGCATCTAGATATTTTATTTTATCAAACTTATTAATAAATTAGCTAAAATTGAATTTTCAGGTATTTAACTATCCAAAAAGAAAAATTAAATATTCAGGGTTTTCTAAAAATCAATTTAATTGTTTTAAAATTTAATTTAGATTGTGGGGACCCAAGATTTAATGGGGCCACCACATTAGGCCCACTTATGTGGGGCGTGGGGCACTTGCATCATCCATAAGTGGGGCGCCCCACTCTTTCCTATTCCTCATATGGTGTGGCTTGTGCATGAAGCCACCTAGTGATTTGCAAATCAAAATGGAATGTTATGTGAAACCAAACATTGGTTTCAAAATAAGACGGTCTAGAAGATTGATCCAAAATAAAAAGGAAATATAACATATTTTCTCTATACTAAATATTTGATGGGATTAGGTTAAGGAAACCGAGGAATAAGCTTCTAGCACCTTCCATTAGATCATATATCTATGGATCGTATGACTAAGATCATAGGTAACCTTTGATGAATGGTCTAGATGAAATCTCATAAGGATGGCCAAACCCTAAGAAACCCTAATCCTAGCCTTGCTTCTATATGATATTACATATGGAATGAAGTAGTATCGAGGGAATCACACAAGGTATGTAAAACATAAATTTTCCAGGAGACTTACAAAGTATTTCATTTCACCTTGGGAAAAACCCTCACTTACTAGAAACTACTATAAGAGTCTTCAACAACAACAATGCCATTATAATACGAGCATAGTTTCTTACAGTCCGGATGAAACAAAATAGAATAAAATAGAGGCTAAAGTAAAAATGTGCATGACCTTAAAGGATCCATGGGAAACCAATTTCACAACAATCACCATGCGAAAACCACAACAGTATAAGTACAACCCTTGACTATCACTCACTCGCGATAGCGCAAGAGGGTCCGATTTCGATCTAATCTCGGGAAGCAAATCTCTTACCACCACATGACAAAGTTCTCATCTCATATACATTCCAAAATCATCTCATGATTGGGCATAGAACCAATTAAAACAAATGGGGAGAAAACAGAGCTCAAAGAGGCTCGAAACACACTAGTTTCAGCCCTAGGGTTTGGCTCAAAGGTCCTAACCACTATGGGATCAAAGGGGACCTTTTTCCTTGCATAGAGCTATGGGAAAGCTCAACGTTATGTTTTTATGTTAGCATTTCCAGTAACACAGAAGTCCAAACAGTTTGCAAAAGATGACATGAAAACTATGCCAACAAAACACAAAGCAATAAGCTCTTACAACCCTAACCCTTATCCATTACAATAGGGATACTTATGATTAAATATGCTCACTGTTTTTCACAAATTACAGAAGCCAAAACAATCACAAAACAGTGGAGAAAACTGAATGGAAGTACGGGATGAGGTTATGAACAATATACCTTCATCTTGGGTGCAACACATGTAAAGGGCAACTCCATCTATGTCCTTGAAGATGGTATTACAATGGGGTCAAGAGAATTTTCACCAATCCTTCATAAACATAACAGCAGCCAAAACCTTGCTCAACAACAGCCATTAAACAATGGATGGTGCGTGATGAAGCTTAGGACACAAGGGCTTCATCATGGGAGAAAAGCATTGAGAGGGTGACTCCATTTGTGATCTTGAGAGGGCGTATTAAACTGGTTTATAGAAAATTTCCAGCAAGGTTTTCTAGACATAACAGCTCCTAAACAATGCTCAAAGGCACCCATCAATTTATAGATGGTACGTAATGAAGGTTGGAATCCAATGACATCATCATGGGAGAATGATTCAACAAGAATCAAAGGGGTACTAACACTTTCAAGTGTGAAGACCATAAGCTCAAAGAGTGGGGCATGGAACTCCTTCAGAGATGAGATTAGAGATTGAAAAGATGAACTAGACTTTTCATGTGGGGTTCATATCATAGATTAGATTTCAACCACCCATAGAGTGATCCAAGGATTAAGAGAGGCTTAAAGTCCTAGCCCAGCTAATCACCATTAATGGCTATTACATGGATGGTGATTAATGATCACACCCTTATCACCATACCCACATACC